TTTAGTATTGGCTTTCAACCACAGTTACTTCTCGAGGTAAACAATGTACAATCACTGAACTTTGTTGCTCAAACACACCTGTACAATTTTAATCAGAGAAATTATGTATTATTGTTGTATATTACTGTGACTACAGCTACTGTCTTCTCTCTGAGAATTTTTGTGCCACTTCTGAGTCTTAGGATCCATAACCTGTAGACTTTTAGTCCATTGGCTTACAGTTATATACTTACCTCCATGTGTAAACTCTATGCCTTTTTGCAACTTTTGTTTATATGTATACAAATCTACATTTAGATAAATCACCTGATATGGTAGCCTATGGGCTCATAGTCATAAAGTGACTCTTCTTGCAGACTTTCTGCCACTGTTCAATTATTGTATTTTCAAACATGCTTGTACATCTCTAAGCTGACAAATTACATCTGATCGTGTACACTATTGGCCTTTTGGTTTGCTATTAGCCTATAGCCATATGTGCCTTTCTTGAACTTTGCATCTCAAACAGTCAGATTGTCTGTCTATATCTGATTTTATGTATCACTGGCATACAACCTTGAAGTTTAAATTCTCTGTAAAAACATTGTGCCAATCTTGAACCGGATTGTATCAGCCGGAGATAGAGTATATCTGGTTTCATGCAGCAGTTTTATATAATACTGTATATCTGTACAGCCATAGAATTACTTCGTTACACTTTTCAATGTCCATCTCCTTGAACTTTGTTATGAATTAATTAATTGTTCCAAGTGAAATTGAACCACATGCATAATGCCTTTGTCGTATGTTTGGAATTGAGAGACCCTTGTTGTCTTTACCATTAATTAATTGTTCCAAGCAAAATTTGAACCAAATACATAATGCTTTTACCGTATGTTTGTACAAGAGATAATCTAGTCTTTAACAATCATTAATTGGACCATCCTTGATCAGTGCTAGTAGTAACACACCCAAACAATTCTTAATGCTTTTAGTTATGTACAATGGACCTCAAATAGCCCTATGTTGAGCCGTGAGTACGGTGTTTATGAGCAAGCACAAAGACTCGACGTTGGAGTGTCTCACAAGCCATCAACTGTGACCGATTTATTCGTTTCCCTGGGAATGTTGTGTTTTTCGGATTCAGATAACTTCCTGGTTCGGTTATTAGGTGGTCGGACAAAAATTACAAAACGTCATGGATGCTTGAGCACCATTGCAACAAGTTCTTGGTGTCAGCGAGAGAAATTACAGAATATTCTGAATAGCTGAGCGGGCTTACACTTTTTCCAATCATTGAAAAATATTCGTAGAAATAATATTGGTGATTATCAGTTTACTTTGCGTGAATGATTTAGTAAATTTAACACGGATTTTAATAACATTCCAACTATATCACGATAGGGTAGCCTAGTGGTTAAAGCGTTGGCTCGTCACGCCGAAGACCCGGGTTCGAATCCCCACATGGGTACAATGTGTGAAGCCCATTTCTTGTGTCCCCCGCCGTGATGTTGCTGGAATATTGCTAAAAGCGGCGTAAAACCAAACTCAGTAAGTCAGTCAGTTAACAGCTATCACCCCGACTGGTTTGTTTGAATACTCTTCACACGAGGGTCAGGGCGTGGGAGGACACCAATCACCCCCACACCAAATCACCGTACGAACAAGCAAACTGTTGAGTGAGTGAGTGAGTGAGTTTAGTTTTACGCCGCCCTCGGCAATATTCGAGCTATATGGCGGCCGTCTGTAAATAATCGAGTCTGTACCAAAGAATCCGGTGATCAACAGCATGAGTATCGATCTACGAAATTGGGATACGATGACATGTGTCAACCAAACCAGCGAGACTGACCTCCCGATCCCGGTAGTCGTCTCTTACGACAGGCATGGGTTACTAAAGATCAATTCTAACCCGGAACTACACGGGCCCGCACACTGTTGAAGATTTGAGTGTGGCAATGACATGTTGTTATGAAACGTATGTTAGCGCCGCTAGAGATGTTTTCGAGGCTGCTTTTGTCTCCGACGGCCATCACCGTTGCACACACGCTGAGTCACCGTCACATCCACACACTGTTGAAGATCTGAGTGTCGCAGTATCTCCATGTTGTTATGAAACGGGTGTGTATGCCGGTTGAGATGTTTTGATTAATGTTCAAGCTATACAGTGGCTTTACTCGAGCGATAATAACATAACACATTTCTCCGTGACATGGTCTCTTCCGAAAAGGCGAGGCGAGGTGAAATTGGGTTCAACGTCGTGCTTGAGAATATTTCGCTCATATGACGACGTGCATGCGTGTGTATGTGTATGTGCGGCTGCTTGTACTAGCCCAGACTTAAGCTGGTTTTATAGTGCTAGCCCACTGAGATACCATGCCGCAGTGAAGGATGAATACCCCACTCAGACACATTATACTGACTCCGAGCCGACCAGTCCTTGATGTACCCATTAATGCCTAGCGCCAGGCAGGGACCAACAAGTACAATATTAACGTCTTTTGGTATGACGCGGTCGGGGATCGAACCCGCGACCTTCCGCTCTGCGGGCGGACGCTCTACCACTACACGACGGAGGCGGTCTCTTCTGAAAAGAGTAGATGCAGCTGTACGGAACATCACGTTTCAGGTGTGTTGAATTAAATAACCCTTCATTGGCTGCGAGAACATGTTCCGTATTTTATCGTATCTGTTCTTAGTATTGTTACAATTGTTGCCAAACGGTATTATGTTCTCTCGTCAGAGTGCCGATCCGCAAAGCATTCGTAACGTTACGACCTGTCATAACTCTACAGTTTACCATAGTCTTACGAATGTCGTAGCGCTACGAACCGCTTGGTGGTTCGGGACCCAGAAAGGTTGCCCACACGACAGTTTGTTTCAATCGTGTTTCAAACTCAAGTCCGGGTTTGAATCCCAGCACGGTACAATGTAAGGACAGTTTCACAGATATTCATGAGTGGGTGGATGGATGAGTTGTGTTTTACGCCGCTTTTACCAGTATTACAGCAATCACATGACGGGGGACACCAGAAATGGGCTTCACACATTGTAGTCACGTGGGGAATCGAACCCAGACCTTCGGTGTAACAAGTGAACGCTTTAACCACTAGGCTACCCAACCACGCACATGCATTCTCTGGAGCCACCTGCTTACCCAGTCCTATTGTCTGTTGTAGGTTCTGACCTAGGAACCTACAAATGATTGTCCTGTTGTCCTGGTGTCCTGGTGTGCTACGTTGACTTGTCCCACCAGCAAGGTAGGTTCACATGAGGTGAGGTGAGGTGGTGAGGTGAGGTGAGGTGAGGTGAGGTGGTGTCCTGGTGAGGGTGAGGTGAGGTTGAGGTGAGGTGTGAGGTGAGGTGAGGTGAGGTGAGGTGAGGTGAGGTGAGGTGAGGGCGAGGTGAGGAGCAAGGTAGGTTCACAGGAATGAGGTGAGGTGAGGTGAGGCGTGAGGGTGAGGTGAGGTGAGGGTGAGGTGAGAGGTGAGGTGAGGTGAGGTGAGATTGGGTTTAACGTCGTGCTTGAGAATATTCTCTCATATGACGACGAGCATGCGTGTGTTTGTGTATGTGCGGCTGCTTGTACAAGCCCAGATTTAAGCTGTTTTTTTTGTCTTGCTCACTGAGATACCATGCCGCAGTGAAGGATGAATACCCCATTCAGACACATATAACTGACTCAGAGCCTACCAGTCCTTGTTGTACCCATTAATGGCGAGCCATATTTTAACGTCTTTTGGTGTGACGCGGTCGGGGATCGAACCCGCGACCTTCCGCTCTCCGGGCAGACGCTCTAACCATTACACCAAGGAGGCGGTCTCACATGAAGGATAATAGGGAGTGAGTTCAGTTTTACACCGCCTTATATTACAGCAATATCACGGTGGGGCACACTAGAACTTGAAGGAGAATAGCAAATACTCATCTAACAAAGTGAGTGTGTGAGTACATGTTTACACCGCAATAAACAATATTTCAACACTATCACAGCGGGGGACACCAGAAATGGTCTTCACACATTGTGCCAATGTGGGGAATCGAACCCGGATGTTCAGTGTGGTGAACAAACACATTAACCGCTTGGCTACCCACTGCCTCAACTAACAAAGAAATTGACGGGCTTTCTGTTATTCGTATGCAAATACTGACAAGCGATGAGATATTACCACTCCGCGGTGCAGTAGATAGAGCTTCATTCCTGAGAGCGTCAGGTCAATGGTTCGATGCCTGGCCGTGTCATACGGAAAACGTTATATGATGGTACTTGTTGTTACCCTGGGTGGCTGGAAACCAGTACAGGAAATTTTAACCATTGAGAAAGCAGCATAACACACAAATAGACAACACAGATGAAAACTGCCACACTCAGTGAAAATATTGATATGCAAACCAAAACCACAATATTGTTCAGTATTGACGATCAATTCTGTACTCTTTGAGCGTGCACTTGGTGGATACATACAACGCTTTATAAATACTCATTATTATCAATATTGTCAGCGAGATTGGTATTCCTGTGTTGCATATACACCTGGTCTCAATGTATCGCTTTTAAGATGTGTAAATATATGTTAATATGCTGAAGATGTGAAATGATCAGGGTGTCGATGAAAATAGAGAGTGTATGTATTCGTTCTCTCTGATTGTCTCTGCGTGCCTGTATTCTCCCTCTCTACCACCCGTACACACTTGCACACATACAAACGAAGACTCGCGGACAGACACGTAGACACAAACAGACAGGACACAGACACACGGTCACACCAGTACAGACACAGACATAGAGAAACATTAACACAAACATACACATACAACTCCAGGACGTGTCAGACACACACACACACACACACACACACACGCACTGACACGTACACACAGAGAGTAATGTTTCCGTTGTTTCCAGTGTTCCTCAAACAACTCCAGAATGTGTCAGACAGAGACACGTACTCGTACACACACACACACACACACACACAATGACACGTACACACACACAATAATGTTTCCGTTGTTTCCAGTCTTCCTCCTACAACTCCAGAACGTGGCAGCTAACCCAGGAACCACTACCTTCTTCCAGACGCGTGTTTCTGGTTCCGTCACTGCCAATGGCACCTGGGCTATAAATGGAGTCCCGCTAACCAATCAACCTGGCAAGTATGACATACTGGTCAACGGAGCCTTTCGACAGCTCTTCATCACCAACCTCGCCACCTCAGATGCAGGAACCGTTACATTCACTGTCAATGGAGAGGTGACATCAGCCCAACTCACTGTTTTAACAGGTAAATCAGGATCTACAGTTTTTTCTCGAAGTATATCAACCTGATTCATCACTCCTAAAATATACCCGTGAACCCCGGGTTAGAATTGATCGCAATAGGCGACTAATGGTATTGGGTGGTCAGATTGACTAACTTGGTTGACACATGTCATCATATGCCATCTGTGTTCATTGATGCTCATGATCACTGGATTGTCTGGTCCAGACTCGATTATTTACAGACTGCTGTCTTATAGCTGGAATATTGCTGAGTGCGGCGTAAAGCAACAAGCCAAACACACAACCGTAATAGAGTACGCTGGATGTCAGGCATTTTGAATCCAGAACGCGGATGCCAATATTTCAATGCTGAGAACATTTTCAAATATCAATTTGAAAATAGTGACAAAACATATGCCACAGCTTTCTCTCGAGCCTAATTGTTTTATCGGTATTCTAGAAGTTGGTGAGTCAATAATGAACCATAACTTTATGGTAGACAACTTCGTGTTTATTACAAAGAACGACGTTTATGTCTACATACTCACACCGTTATACAAGCTTGATGACGATGTAAGAATCTACAACTAAACGTCGCTCTATGGAAAAAAAACACAAGAATTTATCATTTATGAAGTTGTATACTTCATTATTAGCCCTGATGCCTTGAGAACATTCCAGTTGTTTTAGTTGGTGTGTGTGTGACCCTCATGCTGCTCATCACTTGCTTGATAACGGTGTTAGAACCTACACCGAAACGCCGCTCTCACAGCAATAAAGAAGTTGTTCATCCATATATTGTTATCCTTCCGTTGCTGCCTTGGAACTGTAAGGAAGTTGCAGAAAATATCCACACCGACCAACCCCCACCCGACCCCCTGTCTCTATAAATCCATATCAACACGTATCGATTATAACGTAACGGCCCGAGGCTTAAAAAGTGGTGGTATATCGAATGTATTGTACAAGGGTTGTGATATCATTAGGGTTCCAACCCAGGATGACCTGCAACGGACTCGCCACTGTATCGCCACTACTCGCCACGCAAAGTCCGTGGTCTAGACTACCAGTTGTCAGACTTCCATAATCTTGAATTATGTTTCAATTTGAAACAGAACATTTGATTACAAGGGACGCCCATCACTCTTGTCACTGGGTTAGCCGAACAGACAGGCAATACTGGAAGTCAGGTCACCCTCGTGGCCACCCTCTCTCAGAGTAACATCCAAACAGGACTGTGGTATAAGAACGGAGCAATATTGGCGCAGAAAACTCGCATACAGGCGTCAGTGAATGGGCAGTCTCAGATTCTGAGCATCTCAAATGTCCAGACATCTGATGGCAACATACGAATACAGACTTAATGGAATAACTACAAGTGCAGTCCTCACAGTTAATGTTCCAATAGGTGGCTAAGTGCGCAGCCACAATGTCGTATGGCTCTTTTAAAGTCTGAAATAAATATATTTTTGAAAACTGAGGTGACCCTTTTCCAATACTTTTATGTGGTCCGTATGAAGAACACGTTTCATATATATTAGTTTTCTACACTTCTCAAAAGCTTCCAAAATAGATATAATCCATGTTTAATCCTTGCCTTACCTTTCGAGAATAAGATGTCTGATGTACACAGCATTATTGCAAAATATTATAGGTATACTAAACGCATTGAATGTTAACATCATCAATGGAATATTTTAGACAAAGTTTGAAATGTTTACATCTGTATGATATCATTTGTAGATGAGGTATTTAAAATCATATCATTATTGCATCAACTTTAGGATACGATATGGAACCCGGATATCATTATTACATTATGTTTCAGCTATTCTCACTGGGTTAACCGGCCAGACAGTCAATACTGGAAGTCAGGTCACCCTCGTGGCCACCCTCTCCCAGAGTAACATCCAAACAGGACAGTGGTATAAGAACGGAGCAATATTGGCGCTGAACTCTCGCATACAGGCGTCAGTGAATGGGCAGTCTCAGATTCTGAGCATCTCAAATGTCCAGACATCTGATGGGGCAACGTACGAGTACAGGCTCAATGGACAATCTACAAGTGCAGTCCTCACAGTTAATGTTCCAATAGGTGGGTATGTGACGGCAACGTGTTGTAACTGTTTCGCACGACTCCTTGACTTACAAATTCTTGAACAGTTAATGTGGGGACATATTGCAACATCATTCACATTAACTGGGAATACAAACTAACTGAATGATACAGCAGGTATATGTATACCTATATATATTATATCTGTTTATCATATTTTGTCATGGTCGATAAATGCATATCACAACGGTCTCAGATGATGTTATAGATCGTGCCGCTTATATATAGGGATCAAAGGTAGTTGGCACTATTATATGTGACTTTATACATGTGGAACATGTTTGGACAGATAATTGAGACTATATATTCTATGGTGCTGACGTCCGCTCGCCATGCTGAAGACCTGGGTTAGATTCCCCACATGGGCACTATGTTGGGAAAACCATACTCACTCACTCACTCACTCACTCACAACAATATGCACATTTTCAGGTCCGATTGTCAATGGTGGTTTTTCGCAATGGTCCAACTGGACAGGCCTACCATGTGGCGTTGCTTGTGAAACACGAACGGATGTGCTACGGACTCGAACCAGGACCTGCACCAACCCACCTCCCAGTAATGGAGGACTCAACTGTACTGGGTCTTTCGTGGAAGCTTTATCTGCTTGTAATGGTAAGTCAGACGATTCCAGATCTCGTCATTGTTGTGAAATTTGGAAATTCCATTTGAGGTATGAATGTAACCATTAAACGCTTGAATGGTTTACAGATATGTTATCAGATGAACGAAGCTTAAACGGTTTGAATCTTAAAGGATCCTATTTCAATAGCGTTTCATATTTATACACATAAACGGGACATGTTTTATGGATGTCAACTAGCTACCACTGTCCAAATTTCTTCTTGCAGCTCCCGGAGAAACTACTTCTTCCAATGTGTAGACCCTGTCTCCTTCTTTTTAAGCATGTACACCTAGTCCTCCTGTGAACATGCTACCATATTGCTTCTATAAGCATTTTATTCATTTCCGTCGAAGAACATTGTTCGTGTGTCTTTGAGTCCCTCTACAAATAACTTCACCTTGTTCCTCTTTAAGCTTCTTAATCTACTCCCTCTGCAAACATGTTAACCTAATCCCTCTACAAATATGTTAACATAGTCCCTCCACAAACATGTTAACATAGTCCCTCGACAAACATGTTAACATAGTCCCTCTACAAACATGTTAACCTAATCCCTCTACAAACATGTTAACATCGTCCCTCTACAAACAAGTTAACGTAATCCCTCTACAAACATGTTAACATCGTCCCTCTACAAACAAGTTAACGTAATCCCTCTACAAACATGTTAACCTAATCCCTCTACAAACATGTTATCATCGTCCCTCTACAAACATGTTAACTTAATCCTGTAAAGAGTAGTGTAATTTTCCAAAGTTGTGTTTGCATTGGTTTATTTTGAATTGTCTACAAAAAGCTTTATATTTATTTCGTTCCCTCTTCATACAGGCTCGGTTGTTATCAGAGCGATTACGTCCTAAATCTTCTAACATGTCCTTCTAGCACGTTGTTTAGCTAACATTCACTCTTTGTTAAGTCGTAACTTTATAAGCAACTCTTCCATCTACAAACATAAACCTGTAGAGCATTACAAACATGTAAGATAACATATTCCCTCTAAAACATATTAATCACCTTTCAAACATGTGACTTCCTTTAGTCCCTCTACAAACATGTTAACATGGTCCCTCTACAAACATGTTAACCTGGTCCCTCTTCAAACATATTAACCTAGTCCCTCTTAACATGTTGATATTGTGCCTCTTCAGGCATGTTAACCTAGTCCCTCTTTAATCACGTTGATGCCTCTTCAAATATGTTAACCGTTTACCTCTATTACAAATCTTGACTTAGTTACACACAACCACTCCGTGAAATAGTGTGTTACCTTGCCACCAAGGTGCGCTCCTTTTATACATGTCTGAAGGTGCCTTGTCCATCTTTAAACACGTTTTACTTGATGCAGAGATAGTCTGTTGTAAGAAAATGGCGGCACATTACTTTTGATCTGTCAACATTGTCACAAATATTTTACAGTTGATGTTTACTGATGTTGAATGTAAAGGTGGTGGTATATTATTGCGTTTGCATTTGTATGGTTTAATAAATTCGCCATACCGTATTATAGGGACAGTAAACGGAGGCTTTTCGATGTGGTCTGCATGGACCAACCCTTCCTGTGGCATCACCTGTGGCTCCACGAACAGTGTCATCAGGTCACGAACCAGAAGCTGCTCAAAGCCCGTCCCTAGAAATGGTGGATTGCAGTGCCTTGGAGACGTAGTACAAACCACTGTTAAGACATGCAATTTCACTGCTTGTCAAGGTGAGTGCCTCATAGATTAACCTAATCAAGTTATTGCTTGAGATTATTTTTTCTCTTCCTTTTGTCTATTATTATTGATGTTATTATTTCTTGCTCATATTACCCATGCAGCTTCCCTGCTTGTCAAGGAGAGTGCTTATAAGATTACCCTTCTGAAGTTAATATTTGATGATGTTTTATTCTCCTCCCTTTGTCTTTTCGTTTAAGTTTATACTATTCTTTTTCTTTAACTCGTCTATTTTTTCGTTTCATTTTCGTCATTCATTGACATTATTTTTGAATAATTGGTTTTGTAAGGAGATCTCATGCATCAAGGCTACAACATTCATCAGTAAAGCTCTCAAGTTTTATAGTAGACATGTGGAGAAAATTCCAAATTTGATGCATCAGTGACAAAAATGACGTCCGATGTAATTCCCTATTTTGACTTATACCATACGTTCCCAAACTATTTCACGTGTACAAATGACTAGACTTAGCATATGTTTAAGACGGGTGTCACCGGTGGGGCAGGATACGCTCACCTTTTGGCGAACACCTGGTATCATCACTATCTTAAAGTGATCCATAAACACATGCTCTGTCATCGTATCGCATGGTGACAATCACTGGATTGTGTGGTTAAGACCCGATGTGTTTACAAACAACATCATACAGCTGTAATACTGATAAGGTCACAATTGTACAATCATCGACTCTGCTTTTGGTAGAGATTTCTTATGAATATGGAAATGGTTTTGTCACTTTTATTGTGCATGTCTTGGTAATGCTATTTTCCTCCAAGACATGCCCTAACCATTGTTTGCCCCACCAACATGACACAAATGTTGCTGACCTGAGCCTCACATTTCGTTGGTGTAACCTTTCACCTGTTACGTTTTGTTTGTTTGTTTAACGCCGCAATATTTCAGCTTTACAATAATCGAGTCTGCATCAGACCATCCAGCGATCTATATCCTGAGCGGAGCGTACCTATTTGCCAGGTTATCCCTCCTCTCCAAACACGAGCTTGGGGTTGCCTTGTATTTATACGTAAATATCACTCTCCTGTGAAAATAATGATCGTTTTTTAAACAACTTTTTTATTCGTGTGTCCAAAATTATGAGACAAATCAAAGTTTGTCTGTCGATTTCACGTGACTGTGCAGAATTTGGTTTTGTTGCAATTATTATATTTTGTGTTAGTGAGCAATTCATCGGTCTCAAATGAAATCAAACGAACTGTCGTGTGTAAAAAAAGGTTTTGCAGGATCATTAAATGTATTTATGTTACGTTTGTAAAATCTACTTATCTTGCTTACATCGTGAACAAACATTGCAGGACATTATCACCCATTTGTGTTTCATTGTGAAGAAAGTTTATCAGTTTTCTGTTGTCAAATATGTTTATGATGCAATGTGATTTTTTCATCAGTGAATGGTGGGCTGACAGCCTGGACACAGTGGACCGATCCTGCATGCGTCATCACATGTGGACAAAGGTCTGACGTCATGCGAACACGTACCAGGAGTTGCACCAATCCTGCCCCCAGCAATGGAGGACGTGACTGCACCGGTTCTCGAGTAGAGGTTCTGCAGAAAACGTGTTTCTTCTCCCCGTGTGTTGGTACGGAACACATTTTTCACTACCTACCAAGTTTCATTTTGCACGGTTTGCTTATTTTGTGTGCTTGTTTGAATGAATTTGTTAGCTTGTTTTGTTTCTTCTTTGATTGGCATTCTAGAAGTTGTGGAGATGACGAATGACGACAGTTTTATGGATATATAACTTCTTTATTCTGTTTCTACATAGATTCTAATGTCGTTGTCAAGCAAGTGGTGACAACGGTACTTGCTTGGTAATTACATTAAAATCTATGTCGAAACGTCGCATATACAGAATAAAGTTGTATATCCATAAAAATTGTCCGTGTATATTGTCAACAGTGAACGATGTATTGGTGTCTATGTACTTTGTCAACAGAGAACGATGTATTAATGTCTGTATATTGTCAACAGTGAACGATGTATTAATGTCTATGTATATTGTCAACAGTGAAGGAGGTATTGATGTCTATGTATATTGTCAACAGTGAGCGATGTATTGATGTCTATGTATATTGTGAACAGTGAACGATGTATCAATGTCTATGTATATTGTCAACAGTGAACGATATATTGATGTCTATGTATATTGTCAACAGTGAACGGTGGCTTGACACCATGGACCGAGTGGAGCGGACCCCCATGCGTTTCTACCTGTGAACCCCAGAACGACGTTTTCAGGACCCGTACTAGAAGCTGCACCAATCCTGCCCCTAGCAATGGCGGACTGAACTGCACCGGGCCCTTCGTAGAAGTCAAAGCTTCTTGTGTCGGTACGTTGGGTCAGAGAGTGTGAAGGACCTAATTCCATTTTAAAAATGAGATGGGTATGTTGGACGGAACGCATGTTATATACATAATTGCCATTTTGTGAAACCCATAAAGCAGAGGTCTTTCTGAGCTGTAGTTTTGTATGATTAAGGTTTGTAAGTTTGATTATCAGGATGGTTGGTTGGTTGGCTGGTTGTTTAACGCCGCACTCAGCAATATTACAGTTATATGGCGGCAGTCTGTAAATAATTGAGACAATAAAGTGCTTAACTGCATGCGCATCGATCTGCGCAATTGGGATACGATGACATGTGTCAATGTGTTGTTGATTTTTTTGTTATATCTATTGTTTGTGCATGACCTACGTTCAATCGATTCTGTGATCATTTTTGGAAGTGAGGAACGCTGACAAATTAGGGATTCGAACCGGTACGAAATCTATTTCACAATTAGGGTTATTAATTACGGTAGGGGTTTCAAGGGCGGATGACTGTGAAAATGTCCTTTCTCCCCTTTTATAGCACTTACACCGACAAATAGTTGAAAAGTTGGATGGCTTTTTATACGCCTTTGTCGAGGTTATTTCAATATAAACAGAAACTGGTGGATAACAAACATCTGAACAAATGTTGTTACTCAGTATGTATTAATGTTACTATTACTATGACAAAGTAACAAGGTACTCACATTAAGAAATTGGACTTTCCTCAGTTTCTTTTGAGTAATGCATTTTCCACTTACTTCGATTATCGTATTCATCCTTGCAGTCACACACAAAACTTTAATTGTCATTTAAAACAAATTCCAGAACCAGTCAATGGAGGATTCACCCAGTGGACTCAATGGACCAACCCTCCCTGTGATATCACCTGTGGCTCGACCAACAGTGTTACAAGGTCAAGGACAAGAAGCTGCACGAACCCTGTCGCCACTAATGGCGGCCAGCAGTGTTCCGGTGATATTATTGAAACACTGGTCAAGACGTGTGTCTTTGCCGCGTGCCCAGGTCAGTTCTTTACTTACATTAGTGTGTTTCTAAGAGACCAATTATTTGAATTTTCTTGTTTCACCTCATAAAGACATATGCATCAAAGTACAGGCTGAAGTCACGTCAGCATGCCTGTAAGCGGTGGGCAAAAAGAAAAGTATTCACAAAAAATAATTTAGTAAACCTCCTATTATAAACAACTTCATACATATACTGATGGGAAACGTATAAGGGAACACATGAAAGTACGAGTGTTCCTTTATTCTTTTCCAGGTTTCTTCACAAGATATGTATCGCACTGTGGGTGAAATTCTGGAAATATATATAGGAATACTTGTACTTTCAGGTGTTCCTTTTTCGTTTCCATGAATATATCTGCTAATGTGATTAAAGAATGTTAGTTTATTTTTATAGCATGTACAAATTAGAATTAAGAGAAGAAATTTTTTATATATTCATGTGTATCATTCATGTGATGTGACCATGAATTTGACTGTGTTATGGACCAGTGACCTTCTACTGGATAAACCTGCTTGTCTGTCTGTCTGTCTGACAAAAACCTGCAGCTCGTTTCACAAAGCTTTCAAGGAGCTACGACTATCGGAAGTTGAAAATAAAGGTTCTGACAGTCGAACGATAGACAGACGTCTCCTTACCATAAAAAGGGAAAAAAAACGTCCGGGATTTTACTAATTGTTTGAAGTTGGTAGTCCAAATGAAACATACAACGTTATGATGAGACCTTCTTGTTTATTGCACAAACGTTTTCACATTTAGATTGATAACGGTGTGAGAATCTACATTGAAACGTCGCTCTATGCAATAAACAAGAAGTTGACATCCATAAAATTGCATGTTTCATTTCAGAATTTTACTGGAGCTTGTGTTACGACAGCCATCCAAGATATTTTTTCAATTCATCTGAACTTCATCACGTTTTTGTGTATCTCTTTGAATTCATGTAAATCAAATTTGTGGAGTCCAAATCTGAAAGGAACAATTTTGGACAGTGCATTTGACCGTGTGTGATGTTTTAAATATTATACACAGTAGACTGCAACCTATTGTTTGCCTATATCTGATAACAATACTTGTCAGACAATATAATTATTTATATACTCGGCACAAAAAATAAAGGAACCCCTTGACTTTGTGAAACATGTATAACTTAACCAGCACAACCGTACGGTACGTATGTCAGATATACTTAATAACGAGTGTGTCTACCATGAACAGCAATACATGCACGACACCTTGCAGGCATGCTGGACACCAACCGCTGAATTGTCGCCCTTGGAATCAAGTGCCACTCTTGCTGCAGTGCTCTACCTAACACATCAAGATTTGCTGGTGCAGGCTCCCTGAGACGCACTCGACGCCCCAACACATCCTACAGATGATTGATAGGGGATAGATCTGGTGTTTTAGCCGGCCAGGGTAAAGTTGTAACACCTTGTTGTTGCAAGAAGTTCACGGCAACACGAGCTCTGTGAAGACGTGCATTATCGTCCTGAAACACAAAACTTCCACCTGCCCTGTGAGCCATTGAAACCACGTGGCTGTAAGATCTCGTCCATATACCACTGGCCTGTCCAATTACCCCGTACAAGAATCAAAGCAGTCCTCTTATTGAAAGAAATTCATCCCCAGACCATGATAGAGACACCTCCAAAAGAACCGTGTTCCCGTACCGTGGGTTTCCCATAACGCTCTCCTCGGCGACGCCACACACGCAATCGTCCATCCGCGAATCGCAAACAAAAGCGGGATTAATCACTAAACAATACATGTCGCCATTGCCGGTTCCCCCACCTCTGACGTTGCTGAGCCCAAGACGTCTGTGGTTAGCTGTCATCGTCACGCCTTTGAATGGACGTCTTGACTTAAGATCTCTGCTACGGATCCTATTTCGTACAGTAGAGTTCGAAATCCGTGTTCCTGTGGCTCTGAAGAATTCCATCTTCAAATCCGGGGCTGTAACAAATCGATTCCTCAGAGCTATAGTTCTCAGGAAGTTGTCGTGTCTGGGGGCGGTTTTAGGGCGTCTTCCTCGACCGGTCCTCATTTGAACGCCCCCTGTCTGACGGTAAAGGTTGATGAGACAGGAAATGACGCTTTTGGACTTCCTGAAGAACCGGGCAACACTGTTCTGAGATTATCCACCCTCTATCATGCCAATGGCCTGCCATTTCTGTGTGTTTGTCAGGTACTGTCGAGGTGGCATTTTCACAAGAGATAGTGGGGCACGCATACTGTCAGGTTAATAGGCTAGAATGTACGTGTGGTGCATGATGCACGTGTATCATGTAAAGGTATTATGGTGCTGACTGTCGTGTCAGCCGTAAGTGATTTCCGATCTGGGTTCGAATGCAATCAGCTTGCAACTTTTATGTAGCATTGTTTCAACTATAAATTCCATTAGGGGGTTTCCTTATTTCTTGTGCCTAGTATAGATTCGGGTCATGCTCTCAGAATCTGGAAGTATAGATAGTGAGTGAGTGAGTATGGTTTTGAGCTGTTTTTAGAAATATTCCAACAATATCACGGCGGGGGACACCAGGAATGGGCTTCTCACATTGTACCAATGTGCCAATGTGGGGAATCAAACCCAGTGTAACAGGCCAGAGTATACCCCTGTCCCAGACTATACTGCGTGACGAGCGAACACCTTAACCACTTGGCTACCCCACCGCCCCTAGTTCATGAGTAACAATAATGTAAATCATATGATTTAGAAAACAATTAACATTTTCTAATTTGCATAGTCAACGGTGGCCTGACCAACTGGACCCAGTGGACCAATCCACCTTGCAGCATCACCTGTGGATCCAGGACTGACGTCACACGCACACGGACCAGGAGCTGTACCAACCCTCCTCCCAGCAACGGCGGACAAGCCTGCACTGGACCTTTCCTGGAGGTCGAACCAAGAACCTGCAACTTTTCTGCTTGCGTTGGTTAGTTTTGTTTGGCTGTTGACTGCCGCGCTCAGCAATATTCAAGCTGCGTGACGACTGACTAGTCCCGTGATGCAGTGATAGACATTGAGGGCATCTGTTTACATCCATTGTGGGACCCGTGAAGATCCGGGTTAGAATTGATCTTCAGTAACCCATGCTTGTCGTAAGAGGCGACTAACGGGATCTGATGGTCAGACTCGATGATTTGGTTGACACATGTCATTGTATCCCAATTGCGTAGATCGATGCTCATGATGTTGATCACTGGGTGGTCTGGTTCAGACTCGACCGCCGCCATATAGCTTGAATATTGCTGAGAGTGACGTAAAACTAAACTCACTCACTCACTCCATTGTGTGATACAATGACATCCATTAAGCAAATCAGCCATTTAGTGGGTTTAGTTTTACGCTGCTTCTAGCAATATTCCAGAAATGAGCCTCACACATTGTACCAATCCGGCAATCGAACCCGGGTGTTCGGCGTAATGAGGTAATCCTATAACTACTTGGCTACAAACATTAGTGAGTGAGTGAGTGAGTGAGTGAGTGAGTGAGTTTAGTTTTACACCACACTCAGCAATATTCCAGCTATATGGCGACGGTCTGTAAATAATCGAATTTGGACCTTACAATCCAGTGATCAACAGCGTGAGCATCGATCTGCGCAGTTGGGAACCGATGACATGTGTCAACCAAGTCAGCGAGCCTGACCACCAGATCCCGTTAGTCGCCTCTTACGACAAGGATGGGTTACTGAAGATCAATATTCTAACCCGGACCTTCACGGGTACAAGACAAACATTAAGACATTACTGAAAGGCTGTATCGTCACGGGGTTCGGATGGAGAACCAGGGACGATCATTACTTGCTGATGCCCAGCTCTAACCCTCATCCCCACAGGGTGCGTTTTGTAGTACCGTAACGGTTATGCAGGGCTGCTTCCTATATTCATCATTATTCCTGTTGAAAAATATTCCTGCATTGAAAATGAGACGCGGTTAATCGTTTGCCGCCAGTTTATCATGATACTCTCACCATTTCTCGCACACCTTGTGTCACCACTTTTGTTACAGTGATTCATAAACCTTAGATAATGATATAATAAGACATGTACAATCAAAAATGGTTTTGCAGAGATTTTATTTTTTTAAAGGTTTTTCTCTTGATTATGCATGATGTACAATCGAAAATGGGAAGAACAATTGTAATCTTTTTGGACAATATCATGATTTCCTAATCATAGACTCCTTAATCTCAAAATCGCAGTAAGTAAGTTTGGACCAACGATCTTTGCATTTAAACAGTTACTCAAACATTTTTCATTCGGAAAACTTCTGGAAAATGTATCATCCTTCTTATTGAGTTTTCATAAGTGAGTGAGTGAGTGAGTTGGGTTTCACGCCGCTTTTAGCAATATTCCGGCAATATCACGGCGGGGGACACCAGAAATGGGCCTCACACATTGTGCCCATGTGGGGAATCGAACCCGGACCCGCGGCGTGACGAGCTTACGCTTTAACCACTAGGCTACCCCACCGCCCCGGGTTTTCATAAGAGACACGCCAGGCAATGTTTTCTTGTTGATACAGCTGATCCTAATATGAAACAATTGGCTCGTCCTTAACTTCTTGTGTACAGAACATGGACGATTAACAATGAAAATGAAATCAACTATTCAATAGTTTCTGTATGTACTTCACAGTGAATGGTGGTTTCACACTTTGGACTGAGTGGACCAACCCGCCATGTGGCATCACCTGTGGGAATAGAACCGAGATACGAACCCGTACCAGAAGCTGCACCAACCCCGCCCCCAGCAATGGAGGGCTACCATGCAGTGGTCCTATCATAGACATTTTGGCAAAGAAATGTGACTTCTCACCTTGTGTCGGTAAGCCGTCTTAAAGTATTGTCGGAAATAGAAAAACACTGTTTTAGGTTGTTACTCTGTATCCCTACAGTTAACACAATTGGAAATAGCATATGTCGAAATAACCTACATAAATTGTAGATATAAATTCGAAATAAACAGTTTTTTCTATTTCCGACAGTACTTTAGGACATATACTGAGAGAAACAAATAAGGGAACACAGGAAAATTCAAGCGTTTCTTAAATATGTTCCAGTTTTCATCACCAGCTTTGAGGAACACCGTTGGAAGAAATCTGAGAATAAATAAAGGAACACTGCCATGAAGTGGTGTTCGGTTTTTAGTTTCACACGGTATATGTGGTAGTGCCTTTGCTGTAAAACAGTCAAAGCATCACCTGTAGTAATAAATGTTCCTAAAAAAAGATGTATGACGTAACTTTGTATCCTGTCCAACAAAACCCATTCAGAAAACATTCATGGCAGGCTGAGGTTAGCACAGAGGACAATTACAACACACTATGTCAGATTGATTAACATTAAAATCACGACTTATAACACGCAGGGCATTGTTCGTCACATGGGTTGTAAATATTTGATATGCATTCAAGCATCCATGTACCGAGGGGACTACTCAAATACCTCGAGTTATCCGATGTTCAACTCAACCGCAAAATGATTTGATGATGTGGAATAGGTAGTGGCACAGCTTTACCTCCGAGGTAACAGTACATTCGACACTGCAGAGCTCGACACAAAGATGGCTGTATTTGTGGCAATAGTCTGGCAGTTATCCAACTATCAGACGCGAAATTTTAGTGACATGTTTAAGGTCGATATACACAGTTATTACATAACCTTCAAATCAAACTGTCATAATAGGGACTTGACTGTTTACAGTTTCGGAGAATGTATACAGATTGGACTGTGTATGTTTCCAGTACCCGTTAATGGAGGATTCACCGAGTGGACTCAATGGACCAACCCTCCCTGTGGTATCACCTGTGGCTCCACCAACAGCGTTGTCAGGTCACGAACCAGAAGCTGCACGAATCCTGTAGCAAGTAATGGCGGACAATCTTGTACTGGAAACAGAGTTGAAACATTGTCTCAGCCATGTGTCTTTAATGCTTGTCGGGGTAAGCGCCTAGTTTGGTGTTAATGTGTGTCACAACTGTGTGCTCACTAACATGAACAACATCATTCATTCACTCATTCATTCATTCACTCACTCACTCACTCACACATTTATTTTCTATATATATGTACATAACATATAGCGAGTGCTGTAAGTGAGTCCAAACATTTGATGGGTAGTACATGTATCTCTCATGTGACATCATAACGGGATAAAAATGTTGAACAAACACACAAAAATCCATGAACACCAGAAAATATTATGTTGGTGTCAAAAGCTAGGTAATGGATACCGCACGTGCAGTTGAAATGAACACCTGGTGTCATCCGTCATTTTCACTTGTCCATTCATAAAATCTTCACATCTCACCGAAAGGAAGACTGGATATTCTTTAGCACAGGTCTTTTTTATTCACTGAAGTGGGGATGTGTTTCTGCCTGTGGACTTAAGACCCCGAGATTCACCATTAGCCTAGTGGCATTTGCCTGTATCAACTACAAAGGAAACGTTTGGTCCGAGATATTATCATCAACCCCTCACTGTGTACGCTATTTCAGAAACGTTTTTGTCTTTAATCACAAGCATCGGAATCTCTACACTTCAATACAACAGTCGTAATTCCAGTTTGCAAACTAGATTCACCGATCCTTCGATCACCTGATTGTCTAGTTTGTCTACCACGTCCCTGCCACGTTGCAGGGGTACTGGAGTGTCGTCGGTCTGTAAATACTTACTTAGACAAGATGTGTGAATGGTGGGTGTTACGGAAGGCCAGTACAGGGTTACCCTTTTCTAGTATCATCACTCATTTTCAACGGTCCATTCATAAGATTTTTCACAGCTCTTTTTACATCGAAAGGAACCTGTTGCTGAGGCTAGGCAAGAAGGCTGGGAAGTCATTATGTTTTACAATTCAAACAATTGTTACATCGTACACTGTTTGTAAATTTTAAATGAAGGAAATAAGTAAGGGCAGAAAAGTATGCAAAACAGATATGCTGCACGTAAATTTCGTATAGTACAGTTTTTCAATATGAGAATATTTCATTTCGTTCTTTGGGCTACATATACACCGGTGATTTCTGAGTGCATGTATATTTTGCGCACTTTGAGTATAGGTAAGAATTAATGCACCGACTAAAGAAATTGCAACGTCGAAATTAAATTAACTCGACAGGCGACTGTTAACTCAAGCTGCGGTTTTAAAGAAGACTGACTGACTGAGTTTAGTGTTACGCCGCTTTTAGCAATATTCCAGCAATATCACGGCGGGGGACACCAGAAATGGGCTTAACACATTGTGCCCATGTGTTTTAAAGAAGAGAATATTGGGGTATCTTAATGACAGTGTGAGAAATAGTTTCCAAATTGTGCTGGCCAGTCGGGCTAGCTATGCCTGAAAGTTACTAGCCCGCAAAATGATTTACTATTTTAATATAGACACGGGTTTCATCGTTAAGCTGTTGATATAATGAACAGTTTTATCAGGCCATAATCGTGCATGATTTAAAAGTGTATTATAAATTAACAAGTCGGATAGAGTGATATATTTACAAAATGACCCCACTAGCACGTCGGGCCAGTGAGTGTGGATATTTACTGGCCCGACTTGATTATTACTAGCCACGGGCAAGCGGGTCAGCGGCTACTTCGCACACGTGTCTTGATGTTGTTTATTACCAGCCCCAGTGAACGGTGGACTGACCCTATGGACACAGTGGACAAACCCAGGGTGTGGCATCACGTGTGGCGAGGGATCGCCGGTCATCAGGACCCGACACCGGACCTGCACCAACCCTGCTCCAGCCAATGGAGGTCAATCCTGCACTGGACCATTCGTTCAAACTTTATCCCAGAATTGTTCATTCCCAGCCTGTGCTGGTAAGATATGACTGATTACAGATAGTTCAGTAACGCGTTTGGTTACTACAAAAGATTTGAAAACGTTTCTTTTAAATACTGCAAGTTTAACTCAACAGATATGGTCAACAGATATGCTCAACAGATTAAAAACTCGTTATAATGTCATATTTTTCAAAACGGTATGTCAAGTATTCAACATCGTTCACAAAATTGCTTTAAGGGACATTCAAACCTTGATAACCTTAAAACTAACCTTTTCGCTCAGAGAGGAAGTAACGGTTTCATCATCACAGATCGGGTAAAGTTATTTGCATATGAAACGTTTTGTGTCTGGAATTGCCCGTCGAATGAATCCTGTGACTGAAAACATATAATGATGTCTATGGACAACCGTGACTCCATCAGAGGAGGGCCCCACATACAGCTGCTCAGATTGCAAATACATTAAATGATATCCAGTTAGCCCTACTGCTATTTTATTTATTTAGTTTGACTGAATAGAATCATTTATCTTTGCCTCTACATACTCTCTCAGTATGTTATATTTTCTTCGGAACAACTGGTCAAAAAGGAGCGGAACTTTTAATTTGCCATTGAGAAAATTGCCAGTATATAGGAGTCAATCAATGTTGATATAACAATAATGAATGTTTTGAGATTGCGTCACCACTTGCACTTCCTTATGTCCATAGCTGTTTGCACAATAATTGCTCTTGAAAGATGTTTGGTGTATGGCGTGAAATTTGCATGTGTACGATTTTAATTTTCAAACAAAAATACTGGCTAGAAACAAACACTAACAATTATGTGATGCAAGATGATTGTCAAACTTAATGGTCTACAGTGATTTACCGACCTCCTTGAAAACCGTCAAAATCAAGAATAACACCCCATGCACGTGTATGGGGCTACTGGTTTGTGCGTCCCATGCGTTGTGTTTAGGGGTGGTGATCAAGAGAAATGGCGGTGTCTGTCTTTGAAAAGTTTGTAAACGTTTACACTTCCTATCCAAACTGAAAGTTCAGGTTCCCCTACTTTTTTGGAGAGTATATATTTGAGTCCTGGGCATGTTGTAGGGTTTATTGCGCGTTATAACTTTGATCTGTATTATATTTTTATCAGAGTGATTAAAACCTTTTACAGTAAATGGAGGATTCACCCAATGGAGTCAGTGGACCAACCCTGCCTGTGGCATCACCTGTGGCTCCACCAACAGTGTTACAAGGTCACGGTTCAGAAGCTGCACGAACCCAGTAGCAAGTAATGGCGGACAATCCTGTACTGGAGACAGAGTCCAGACGTTGATTCAGACCTGTGTCTTTACTCCCTGTCCAGGTGAGGGATTGTTAACATATGTCTTGTTTTTTTTGGGTGATTGTTGTGTATCCTTACACTTGTGCCTACACTTATCTCTCTTGTCCCAATGTGAACACTGGCTCTAGGTTAGACCCGTGAAGATCCTTGCCTTCAGCAACCCATGCTTGTCTTAAGCGGCGACCAACGGGATCAGTTACTGAAGATCAATTCTAACAAGATCTTCACGGGTCGATTCAATATCGACTCTCACATAAGATTTCATGTGAATATGGAAATACTGTTATCTAATTTATAATTAAAGAATACATTCGAAAATTTTAATGTATGTTAAGACGTACCTAAAATGTCCAACCTCGCCGGTAAAGTAATGATTATTTCATGGTACCAGTGAACGGTGGCGTCACACAGAGGACCCAGTGGACCAAATCACCTTGTGGTATATTTTGAGAAACAAAAGTAAAGTACTAATTATTCTTTCATGGTACCAGTGAACGGAGGCCTCACTCAATGGACCCAGTGGACCAATCCACCTTGTGGTATATTTTGTGGAACAAGATCCGATATCCTGCGGACACGAAGCAGAACCTGCAGCAACCCTGCTCCCAGCAATGGCGGACTCGGGTGTAATGGACCTTTTGTGGAGACTACACAGAATACATGTGCTTTCGCCCCTTGTGTTGGTAAGTTGAACGCATGAAACAATTTTGAACCATCGGCTATATATTAGTAGATTTAATGTTTTGAGACACCCCTTTCGTCAACATATTTATATCTGGTTCATAATTTCGCCAAAGAGGCCTGGAACATTTGGTCTTTTGTCTTAGTGAAAATAGTGAAACAACTGCAACTGTTTCATTCTTCAATCACATATTTCTTGTGAGGCCAAAATGAACATTGATTGAATTAGACCTGGGTGTGATTGCACTTACCGATGTTTATCATGGGTACGAAGAATGCACACTAATGCATTTCCTGGCAGAATAGCAATACTTGTTCAGAGCTGAGAGTATCATATTCAGTTCAATACGTAAGATTCTGAATAACAGAAAGGTCAGACTTGACCATCAGAAACTTAAGTCATCCCTCATGGCGTATGGACTTTTGGACAGTTTATGGCCACTGTCTCAAGCTACAGTTGCTTAGAAACGAGAAGATCATATTTAAGGCAGAATGTCACACATTTTCCACAATATGTATTTATTATATTATACTTATTAGGGCATATGCACTAACGTTTGCTTCCTGATGATGCAGTAATGGGCTTATTATCCCTTACGACTTGCCTGAAATCGTACATTAATTCATTCGAACTTTTTACTTCAATATTGTAATCTAAATGCGTAATTTTGTTTTGGAATAAATAGTAAGTATAATTAAAGAAATGCATTGTGTATTTTTAGAGAAGTGTGGTGTGATATAGTGCCTTTAGATCTATGCGTAAATATTTTAAATGACAAAAATGGCAAAATTGGAAAGCTGACTTCATCACTCGTGTTCGTATACATACATGAACTGAGAAGCAGAGTAACAAACACCTGCCTCGCCTACAGTGAATGGAAGTTTCACCCAGTGGACACAGTGGACCAACCCTACCTGTGGCATCACCTGTGGTTCAGCCAACAGCCTTGTCAGGTCAAGATCTAGAACCTGCACAAACCCTGCGCCCAGTAATGGAGGACAACAGTGCTCTGGGAGTACACTTGAAACAACCCTGAGGACGTGTGTGTTCAGTGCCTGTCCGGGTAGGTGCTTCTCGTGACATCATATCTCATCATTTCTCATTAGTGTCTAGTTCGTCTTGTAAGTCACAGTGTCTGCAGGATTAGTTCTAGTTCGTATACTGTGTGTACTGTGTTGGATAAAGTCATGTGACTTTTACCGTCTAGCGCCTCACAGGGTTATCCGGAGTAATAATGCGTTAGCGCTTTGTGCATGCAAAAGGGTGTGAAAACAGGCGCTTTATAAATGGTCATTATTAGTATTACTCAAGAGTCCCATGTTATACCGGTGATATACTGTAAGCTCGAACACAGGGGCAAAAGTATCTGTGATCGGTACATCGTGGTGCATCACTTCAAAGGGAGTCTAGGCCTATTGTAATGAATTATTATTAATTAAGGTCATCTCCACCCATCCCCACCAAATCCCCACCCAAACCAAATCCCAACCCCTACTAAATCCCCATCCCCATCAGAGGTACAGACATATTCCACCCTTTCAAATACCAACTGGCAATATGCCACAAATTTGTACATTTCCAAATTGACGAAGATATCGTTAAATTTCGGCTACTTATTTATCACAGGGAACGGTGGCTTCACACTCTGGACTCAATGGACCAACCCCCCTTGCGGCATCACGTGTGGACTACGTACTGACGTCACGCGCACGAGAACCAGGAAGCTGCACCAACCCCAGCTCCCAGCAATGGCGGACAGACCTGTGTAGGTCCTATACTGGATACCCAAGCGGCAACCTGTTCATTCTCTCCCTGTCCAGGTAATGGCTCCTGTGTTTTATACATTATATGTATGTATCCCCCAGCCTTTATGCCCTGTCATGAAAACAGCGAGGAATTAAAGGACTGGTTCACTACCTTTTCTAATGTATTTCGGTTAACCACGGATATATCGAACACTCTTATGATTACTTAACGGAGATGACAACCTGATTTTTTTATCCCCGTCAGTTACTACAATATTTGTCTAAAGCGTTCAACGAACTACGGTTATAACGAACTACAACTAGCGGTTCCTTTGAGTTCGTTTTAACCGCTGGTTCCCGTAAATATCAGTGGATTCTTTTGGTCGTACGTTTCAAGTCATGGTATTTAAGCAAGTTAAGCGGTTTTAACGAATTAATATTCGTGGCTCCTTTGAGCTCGTTTTAACCGAACTTTATTGTAAAAAAGTGGATTCCTTCATTCGTACGCCTCAAGTAAAAGAGTTTATACAAGATATATTATCATAAGACGTTTTCATCTTTCATTTTCGGCGCTGGGGTAGCTTTGTGGTTAAAGCGTTCGCCCGTCACACTGAAGACAAAGGTTTGATTCCCAACGTGGTTACAATGTTTGAAGCCCATTTTTTTGTGTTCCCTGCCGTGATGTTGCTGGAATATTGCTGAAACCTGGCAACAAGCACATTTATACAAATTCACACTGGTTTGATGTATTGTATTCCGAAAGCGGCGTAAATCTAAACTCACTCACTCAACATTCATTTCATGAAAAGACATTCTGTAATTTGACGGTTTGTTTAACAGTGAACGGTAACCTCACGCTATGGACACAGTGGACGACTGCTACTTGTAGCATCACTTGTGGAACAGGAACCGATGTTGTACGTACCCGCACCAGGAGCTGCACCAACCCCCACCCAGCAATGGAGGACAAGCCTGTACTGGAACACTGATCGAGAACGAGCCAATTCCTTGTGTTCTCCCTACTTGTAACAGTACGTGGATGGTTTATTATACAACATGAATCTCGAGTAATATTTGGGCTGTTGAATATGCAAAACGTTTTTGAACTTGTTTATTTCCAGCAAAGGGTCTACCAGCCCATTAGAAAATGGACACTCATGTACAAACCAAATAGACCGCGATGTCAAAAACAACATGTATGAACTTCGTGCTTTCCTTTGGCAGTCGGATGATATAGTATACAACATTAATCTCAAGTTTGGAGCCGTGAATTTGGAATTGGTCATCAATCCGTGCTTGATGTAAGAGCTGACCCGCTGAACGGATAGATGCATGTCATCGTAACCCAGTTGGTTCGATGGATGCTCATCATGTTCCCCATTGGATTGTCTAGTCCAGACTCGAACGTTTACAAACCGTCGCCATATAGTTGGAACATTCCTGAGTTCGAACCCGTGAAGGTCCGGGTTAGACTGTAACCCATGCTTCGGCAACCCATGCTTGTAGTAAGAGGCGACTAACGGGATAGGGTGGTCGGACTCGCTGGCTTGGTTGACACATGTCATCGGTTCCCAATTGCGCAGATCGATGCTCATGCTGTTTATGACTGGAATGTCTGGTCCAGATTTGATTATTTACAGACCGCCGCCATATAGCTGGTGTGCGGCGTAAAACTCACAAAAGGTTACACAAAATGCAGAAACAATGAAATATGTTCAAGTCTGAGTCGCGTCACCAGTCAGTTTTACGACAATGTATCCACCGCCGTAGGTCTTGACAGTTTGGAACAAGTATCTGGAAAGGAGCAAGGTCTTTTTAATAGCCCCCTTTAAACATTGTTTTGCTTGTTGCTGAATTATAAGAATTATATGCTTGTATTCATGCCTCGTGTAATAGTAACATTCGTTTAAGCATCAAGTCCTTTAAGCTAACTCATGATTATCCTAAAAGATGGAAACTTTTTATATGATTTATCACAAACTGCTATAATATCGCTATTATAATTATGTGTTCCTGTCAAACTGTTCACAATTTCGGCATCATGTACTTTTTGCTATGTTACGAACGAAAGGCGTTTGGGTAGTCCATCAGATAAAGCGTTCACTTGCACGCGGAAGACCCGGGTTCGACTCCCTATATGGGCATGTATGAAGCCTATTTCTGTCCTCCGCCGTGATACTGCTGTAATGTTGCTAGAGGCGGCGTAAAACTAAACTCATTTACTCACTCCTTTACGAACGTCATTATCTCAGATCGTACTTGAGCATCCCAGCTGTCAGTAGCTGATCTGTGGTGAACAAACGGACATCGTACCCTTGCATTACCTGAGGCTTTCTATCTACAGTAAGATGAAACAGTAAGATAACTGAAGTCACTTATTTCCAGCTCCTATAAATGGGGGACCCACCCCGTGGACCCAATGGACCAGCGCTCCATGTAACATCACCTGTGGTTCCACCAACAGTGTTGTCCGGTGGCGTGCCAGAAGCTGCACGAACCCCGTGCCCAGGTTTGGTGGACAACAATGCTTTGGAGGAACTCTCCAAACGATCCTACAACCTTGTGTCTTTAATCCTTGTTCAGGTGCGTGTCTCTTATACACATTTAAGACCTAGATGTTTGACGATTTCCATTTTTTATGTTTAGTTTTTTTTGCAGCCTGCCTCTGTTCTAATAAAGTGAAAAAGCTAAAAGCGTGAAATCTGTTCGAATATTTATGTACTTCTATTTAAAACACAAAATTTCTTCTCGATGATGTAAGTAGTTTTGCTTTCAGTCGAGAATGGTCGAATTATGTTAATTTTAAGTTTATTTGTAGGAATATATTTTTATTATACCAGTGAACGGTGGCCTCACACAATGGACTCTATGGACCAATCCACCTTGTGGCATCACCTGTGGAATCAGATCTGATATCTCACGTACACGAACCAGAAGCTGCTCCAATCCTGCGCCCAGCAATGGCGGCTTGACCTGTGCTGGCAGTCTGCTTGAGGTTTTGCCACAAAACTGTTCCTTCTCGCCGTGTCCAGGTAAACCTTCCATTTATCCGGATCATATGATAGTGCATCCGTGAAGAACTTGGTTAGAATTGATCTTCAGCAACTTATGTATGTCGTGAGAGGGGCTAACGGGTGGTCATGTTTGCGTGTCACAGTATCCCAATTGCATAGATCGATACTAACGGGTGGTCAGGTTCGCGTGTCACAGTATCCCAATTGCATAGATCGATACTAACGGGTGGTCATGTTCGCCT